TAAGTCTGCGGTTTAAGTCTGCGGTTTAAGTCTGCGGTTTAAGTCTGTGGTTAAGTCTGTGGTTAAGTCTGTGGTTAAGTCTGTGGTTAAGTCTGTGGTTAAGTCTGTGTTTAAGTCTGTGGTTTAGTCCGTGGTTCAGTCTGTCTTTTGGTCTGTATTTAGTGTCTGCTCTGCTCTGAGTTTATTTGGCATCTTCTGGTGGATTTAATTTCCTGATCATTTTTCTCCCCCTGTTTTCCTTTTCCTTGGAAGAGCTCCAGGGCTCCGGCGGCTCCCAGAGGGTCCGACCCCAACGGCTCCACCACGAAGGGGGAGAAGGGGGAGAGGGTGAGTCCAGCAGTTATCCAAGCACTTGGATAAGGAATATCATGGAATGCTTTGGCTGGGAAGAGACCTCAGGGATCAGCCGGTTCCATTCCTGACACCTCCCACTGTCCCAGGTTGCTCCAACCCGACCTTGGACACTCCCAGGGATCCAGGGGCAGCCACAGCTTCTCTGGGAAATCCATTCCAGCCCCTCCCCACCCTCCCAGACAGCAATTCCTTCCCAATATCCCATCTAACCCTCTGGCAGTGGGAAGCCATTCCCTGTGTCCTGTCCCTCTATGCTCTGGTAAAAAGTCCTCTCCATCTTTTTTGTGGGCTCCCTGTGTTTGTCTTACTGGGGAATTCCTGGGCAAACCCAGGGCTCATGGAATCATGGAATGGTTTGTGTTGGACAGGACTTTAAACTCATCCAGTTCCAACCCCAGGGACACCTCCCACTATCCCAGGTTGCTCCAACCCATCCTTGGACACTTCCAGGGATCCAGGGGCAGCCACAGCTTCTCTGGGAGATTCATTCCATCCCCTCCCCACCCTCCCAGCCAGGAATTCCTTCCCAATATCCCACCTATCCCTGCCCTCTGCCACTATCCACAACTAAATTACTGGAATTAAGGAGGAGCTCCAGCAAAGAATCCTCTTGGGATCTTCCAGGTTGGATTTTGAAAATTGGGCAAAAGGGAACAAATCTGTTTCATGTGCGCGCTCTGGAATTTTTGGGGATGCTCCCAAGCATTCCAGAAAGGGTTTGAAGATCCAAGTCCGTGACTTTTCCATGCTGTTTCTTTCCCTACCTTTAGGGACTCCCTGGGAAGGATGGAATTCCCGGGCTGCCGGGCAGGCCGGGCCGGGCGGGTCCTCCTGGTCCCCCCGGAGTCACGGTGGGTGTTTGTTTGGACTGACTTTGTCACAGTGTCACTCAGGAGGGAGGGTGACCCTCAAATACCTCCCTCTCCCTGTTTTCCAGGGTATTCCTGGCGTCCAAGGCGATGTTGTGAGTATTTGGAATCATGGAATGGTTTGGGTCGGAAGGGACCTTAAAGCTCATCCAGTTCCAACCCCAACACCTCCCACTGTCCCAGGTTGCTCCAGCCCGGCCTTGGACACTTCCAGGGATCCAGGGGCAGCCACAGCTTCTCTGGGAAATCCATTCCAACCCCTCCCCACCCTCCCAGCCAGCAATTATTTCCCAATATCCCATCTAACCCTCTGGCAGTGGGAAGCCATTCCCTGTGTCCTGTCCCTCCATCCCTTGTCCCCAGTCCCTCTCCAGCTCTCCTGAGGTCCCTTTAGCCACTGGAAGGGGCTCCAAGGATTCAGTGACCCCATTTGGAACTGGAATTTGGGAATGCCAGGAGCATCCAGCAGCTTTGTTTTTCCTCCTGGATCCAGCATTTCCCTTGGCTGGGAATGGTTAAACTGGAGAGAGACCTGGAAGCACCGAGGGTGGATCCGAAACCCCCTCATTCCATCATGGAATGGTTTGGGTGGGAAGGGACCTTAAAGCCCATCCAGTTCCAACCCCAGGAACACTTTCCACTATCCCAAATTGCTCCAAACCCCAACCTGCCCTTGGACACTTCCAGGGATGGAGCATCCATGGTCCTGTGGGTTTTTTTTCCTGTTTAACCTTCAGAATTCACTTCTAATTCCAGGGATCTCCCGGATATCCGGGACCGGCAGGGCCAAAAGGAGACAGAGTGAGTTTTGTTCCCAGGTTTTATTGGAAAAAAAAAAGCTCTTTTAGTGCTCTGATCCCGGTTTTCCAAGCATTTTCCCAGTGATCTTGGGTGAACGTGAACTTCTAAGCCGGGTCTAACTGCTAATCTTCACCTGGGGGATTTCTCCTTCCGTTTTCCAAGGAGGAATTTTCTGTCTTTGTGGAGAAATCACGGCACTTGGTACATTTAATTGACTGTTCCCAGAAGGAGGTGGGATTTGGATGGGTCCTTCTTCCCGCCCGAGTTTCCACCGGGAACAAACCTGTTGTTCCTGCATTTAGGGCATCAAAATGTTTGGATTTCCAAATATTTGGGAGCTTCTTATCCTTCCCCTGTCTCCCAGAGCAATCCCAGGAGCTTCTTATCCTTCCCCTGTCTCCCAGTGCAATCCCAGGCAATCCCAGGAGCTTCTTATCCTTCCCCTGTCTCCCAGTGCAATCCCAGGAGCTTCTTATCCTTCCCATTTTTCCCACTGCAATCCCAGGAATTTCTTATCCTTCCTCTTTCTCCCAGTGCAATCCCAGGAGCTTCTTATCCTTCCTTTTTCTCCCAGTGCAATCCCAGGAGCTTCTCATCCTTCCCTTTTCTCCCAGTGCAATCCCAGGAGCTTCTTATCCTTCCCCTTTCTCCCACTGCACATTCCTGCTCCTTCCCTGCGTCCCCCTGAACTGTCCTTGTGACTGAAAACGGGGAATGGATCCTGCTGAAATCCAACCTCCTTTTTTTCTACCTCTCTGGAATTAATTTTCTTCCAAGCCAACAAACAAATCCCGTGTCTTGACCACGTGGTTTTGCTGCCAAAGGAGGTGGTTTGGGCTTAACTTTGCTTTCCCTGCCGATGGAATCACCCCTAAATCATCAAATTCCCGGATTTCCCAACATTCCCTTCCACCTTTGTCCTCAGGGAGAGCCGGGATACGTCCTGGGAGGAGTGGAGGTGATTCCCGGCCGGAATGGGCCACCGGGCCCTCCTGTGAGTATCAAACCTGGAGGAGAAGCAAAAGGAGAGATGGGAGAGATCCCAAACCCTTCCCTCTCCTGGTTTTCCCTCCTTTCAGGGCCCCAAAGGGCAGCCAGGTGTTCCCGGGGCAGCAGGACCACCGGGATTGCCAGGAATGCTGGGACCACCGGGAATGCCGGGACCGCCGGGACCTCCAGGGATCTCCATCAAGGTGAGGGAGGGGGGTCGTCAACCTTGATGTACCCCAAGAAGAGGGGACCTGATCCCAAATCCTGCAGGTTGAGGTGTCTGGACACCTCTGCCTTCCCTTGGGAGTGGGAATTTTGGGGTTTTGGGCTTCTCAGGCCCCAGGAGCTTTTTTTTTTTTTTTGTGGGATGAAGTTGGGAGAGGAACCTCTTGAGGTTCCACACCCCGTGGAGATTGTCCTTGTCCTTCATGTTTCAGGGCCAACCAGGGGATTCAGGAGCCAGGGTAAGTCCTGAGGTTCACCTTGGTGATGATGAAAAGCCCCTTTTTCCTCATTATTTCCACCAAACTTCCCGAAAATCCATGGAAAACCGCGCAGTGAGAGTGTGCTGTGCTCCTTGCAGGGCCCTCGGGGGAGGAGCGGCCCCAAGGGAGAAAGAGGAGGCCCAGGAGAACCGGTGAGTGGTCCAGGGATGGCTCCAGAGGATTGGGAAGAACTACCAGCTGCGATGGGAAGGGGTTGGTGGCCTTGGAATGTCCTTTGGAACAAGGGGTGGGTGTAGAGGGACAGTGTCTGCTGCCAGATTTCCTGCTCTTCCTCCTGGAATGTGACCCTTCTCCTTCCCAAATCCCAACTCTCCTGGGGTCAGGAGGTCAGGGAAATCCTGGGATAGATCCAGATGAAGGAGAGAAGGTGGGACAGCAAATCAGGCAGCAGATTTCACAAAATCCTGAGATATTTTGAGTTGGATCCACAGGGATCATCACCCAGAGCAAGAGAGGTGATTCTTCAGTGAAGAAATTCCAGAGGGATATTTGGGGAGGAGTTGGTGGCCTTGGAATGTCCTCTGGAACGAGGGATGGGTGTAGGGGGACAGTGTCTGCTGCCAGATCTCCTGCTCTTCCTCCTGGAATGGAGCTGGATGTGACCCTTCTCCTTCCCAAATCCCACCTGCCCTGGGCTCAGTGACCCTTCCCAAATCTCACCCTTCTCCTTCCCAAATCCCACCTTCCCTGGGGTCAGGAGATCAGGGAAATCCTGGTATAAATCCAGAGGAAGGAGAGAAGGTGGGACAGCAAACCAGGTAGCAGATTTCACAAAATCCTGGGATATTCTGAGTGGGATCCACAGGGATCGTCACCTAGAGCAAGAGAGGTGGTTCTTCCATGAAGAAGTTCTACAGGGATGTTTGGAATGTGGGAAGTTGGAGTTGAAGGGGAGAAAAGGGAATTTAAAAGGTTCAGGGAGGACTAGATGATAAATAAAAGATGATAAATCGAAGATAATAATAAATAAAAGATAATAATAATAAGGTTTTTAGATAATAATAAAAGAAAAGAAAATTTGGGAAATCCCTGGATTACAAATGGCTCAAACCCGAGGGATTACTGAGGGATCATGTCCGTGTCCTGTTCCTGCTCCTTCCCAAGTTTCCTGTTCCTGTCCCTCATGATCCACGGGGCCTTTTTTCATTCCCTGTTACCATATTGTGGAGCTGTATCCCATGGATCAGCCCTTTCCATGGATTCTCTTCCCATCCAAGCCAACACCTCTTTATTTTCCCTTCCTCAGCAAAGCTGGTGATCCGTAACTAATTTATGCAAGAAAAGGGAATTTGGGAATACCCTCTAAACCCTCAGTTTAGGGTGGGAATATCGGGGGAGACGTTTCTCTCTGCTCATGTTTTTTGCACTTCAAAATGAACCTTTTTGGGCTGGAAGGGAAAGATTTGAGGCTGGATCTTCCCTTTTTTTAGGGGAAACCTGGTTTACCAGGCCCTGTGGGGCTCCATGGAGTTCCTGGACTGCCTGGACCACCGGGAGAAAAGGTCACATCCCACATCAGATATTCCCTAAATCCATTGGCCCCGGGGGAAGCTGAGAGCAGGGAGCCCAAGGAACAGCAGGGGGGATTTGTGGGAAGGCAGGTTGGGATCTCCCAACGTTCCTGGAGCAACCAAACATTCCCAGAGGGAATTTCTCCCCCTCCTGGGGGTGGAGCTTTCCCCAAGGGAATGATCAACAATCCTTGTTCCAGCGGCTCCCTCACCCGGATCCTGTGGGACCTGGGCAGGGAGGGCAGAACTGGTCCCCAAGGTGTCCCCGGTGCTGCTGGGAGGGAACTGCTTGGA